CCTCGCTCACCGCCGCCTCTCCCACAGCTCACCGGCGGCATTGGCTTCATTCACCACAACTGCACCCCCGAGTTCCAGGCCAACGAAGTGCGCAAAGTCAAGGTGAGCAGCCGGGGCCGGGAGCCCCCACGGCAGGGCCAGGTCCTGCGCAGCGCTCACCTCCTCCCCTTGCCCCTTTCAGAAATACGAGCAGGGCTTCATCACCGACCCCGTGGTGCTGAGCCCCAGGGACCGGGTGCGAGATGTTTTCCAAGCCAAGGCGCGGCACGGATTCTGCGGCATCCCTATCACGGACAATGGGAAGATGGGCAGCAAGCTGGTGGGCATCATCTCCTCGCGGGACATTGACTTCCTGAAGGAGCTGGAGCATGACCTGCCCCTCAGCGAGGTCAGCCGCGGCCCCGCGATGCAGGGGGTGGTGGGGTCAGCCGCGGCCCTGCGCTCTGCTCCACACACTGGACAGCGTGTTGGTTGCTGGCAGCACCCGTTGCAGGGCTGTAACCAGAGCCGCGGCGCTGTCGGGTTGCAGCATGCCGCACTTCTTGGAGCTGCCTGCTGTCTCAGGGCTATATTTAGCTCCAGCTGGCGCTGCTTGCTCTCGTGTCGGGAGCCACGGAGGAGCTAGGAGGCCCGCTGACTGCCTGTCTGGGCCCCACACCAGGCCCACATTCCTGCGGGGGCATGCAGCTTTCAGGCAGGGCTGCGAGCGGGCTCTGCGCAGCCGTCTGGGAGCCCGGGACTCCAGCCTGCAATGCAGCAGACAGGCTGCAGGGAAGCCGGCAGGGCCTCTCCAGGACGAACTGCACCCGTCCTTGCCAGCCAGCTGTTCTGCTCATGGCCACTTCTTCTGTCACCCCTGTTCTTGCCGCCTGAGGCTAAACAAGTCCATCCCTGCCTTGGATTTGGGTCAGACAGCTTCTCTTCCCCCCATGCTCCCAAGCTGTGCTGTAGAACAGCGTACAAGTGCGTGCTGGGCCTGGCTGTTGGCACATGCACGGGCGGGTGTATTTGTTTGAGAACCTGTCGTGTCCATCCCCAGCCTTCCCTGAAGTACAGACAGCTTCCAGGCAGAGTCCAGCAAAGGCCAGCCTGCCCCTAGCGCTATCTGCCAGCCAGCCTGCCCACCTGTGGGGACACGTGCCAGGAACAGCTGAGGCCCTGTCCCACATTTACCTGGTTCAGTCTATTCAGGGTGCTTGGGTCTGTGGCCTGTGCTGCTGAAATCCTGAGGAGCGAGCAAGGCCCTTCCCTGTTCTGGGCCATCTTGCTGAGCTGGCTGTAGTCTGGGCCCTTCCATCTGCTTCAAGCAATGCACTCGTGGAGGCTGTGCCCTGCTCCCCTGGGTCTGAGCCCACCTGGCTTGTGGCAGGGTGGGGGAAGGAGGCTGAGCTGTACATTCCCCACGCGTTGTAGGCTCCCTTCTCATACCATCGCATGGGGGACAACCAGGGGTCCACGGCTTCTTGCAGTCTGTGCTGGGGTACCTCCACAAGACAGGCTGGCTCCATCTCTGGTTGGGCAGGGCAGGGTTTTCATGTCTGCTCCTTCCCTGTCTTCCTTAGATCATGACAAAACGGGAGGATCTCGTCGTGGCCCCTGCAGGGGTCACGTTGAAAGAAGCAAATGAAATTCTACAGAGGAGTAAAAAAGGTACCTAGGGCCATCTGTATGGCATGGGGAAGCCATGCATGGCATAGCATGTGGGAGGACATGCTCCTGCACATGTGTGGAAATGCTTTCCTGCTCCTCCAGCCTGGGTTGTGCACATCGACAGGACCGGAGGGTCTGCCCGGAGCCAAGGGCCATGTGGGGCCTTCCAGGCATGTGGCTTCCTGGCTTTGGTGGAAGAGTAGACATGGGCAAATACATGGGGCACCCCTGAGCTTGCACCAGGGAGCTGCACTTGCCCCCTCACATCTGTCCTGAACCCAAGGGGTTGTTGCCAGTTCCAGGCCACAAAGTACAAACACTGAGGGTGCCCTGATGGCAGGTCTCTGATACTATACCCTGCTCACTATACCCTCATCTCTGCCAAAATGCTGTTGGGCCTGCTTGGGCTGCAACCTCGCTTCAAGCTGGGGCCCTTGGCCTAGAGCTGGGCTCCTGCAAGGGGGGCCTCTGCTTCATAGGGTCAATGTGTAGATGTCTGTCTCGTGGAAAACCCAGTGGCAGTGACATGTCTGTGCTTGTTTCCAGGCAAGCTGCCCATCGTTAACGAGGATGACGAGCTGGTGGCCATCATTGCCCGCACAGACCTCAAGAAGAACCGTGACTATCCACTGGCCTCAAAGGATGCCAAGAAGCAGCTACTGTGTGGGGCGGCCATCGGCACCCACGAGGATGACAAATACCGCCTCGACCTCCTGGTGCAGGCCGGCGTGGACGTCGTCGTGCTGGTGAGCACCTGGGTGGGCTGCGAGCCTTGAGACGGCACCTTTGGCTCCTCCTCTGGCTTGACCAGACTTGGAAAAAAGGTCACGTGCCTGTCTTCCTTGTGCTCTTCCAGAGACTGCTAAGTAGCAACGGTCATGATGTGTCTTTTAATTACGTCGATCAAAGCAGCCTTGGGCTCTCTGTTCCAGAGCTGCCGTCTCTGCTGAGCCCTGCCCCAACCACACATGGTGTGTGTCCATCACACCCGGCTCAGTGGGGCTTTGCAGGGCTCGTTGGTCAGCCTACTCTGTGCTCTCTCTGTCAGGATTCCTCTCAGGGGAACTCCATCTTCCAAATCAACATGATCAAGTACATCAAGGAGAAGTACCTCAGCCTGCAGGTCATTGGTGGCAATGGTAAGGACCTCCCTGCACTGGCCTGGCTTCTAGGCCTAGCTGCTTTCAGGTGCAAGGGAGTTTGTAGCAGTGGGACTCGGGTCCCCTCTGTGCCTGCTGTGTTCCCTCATGCTGGTGAAGCCACCCTGCAAATGCCAGGAGCTGTTTTAGAGCAAGCCACTCACTGAGACCTACTAGGACCCAGTGAGGCAGAAGGGCAGTCCCCAGCCATGGCCCTTTCACTCAGCGCAGTTGCGTGGGTTTAAATGATGCTGGGGTTCCAGTTGTCCTAGACTGCTGCCTGCTGTGGGCCTCCTTCCCCCTCCCCTCCGCAGCCTGTCTCACTGGCACTGAGCCCAGGAACAGCAGAGAGGCAGATCTAGCTCTCCAGCCTGAGGCGTGTGGCAGGTGACAGCTACAGGCAGTGGAGGAAGCCATGTGACACTGCTCTGTCTTCCCTAGTGGTGACGGCAGCCCAGGCAAAGAACCTGATCGACGCTGGAGTGGATGCGCTGAGGGTTGGGATGGGCAGCGGCTCCATCTGCATCACACAGGAAGGTACCAAAGCCGTTGCATGTCTCCTGCGTGAGTAGAGGAGCAGAGAAAGTGGCTGAATGTGGGGCACCCCTCGGGACCTGGTGAAGCTGGCAGCCCCTGGCGCTCGTGGGCTGTGACGCAGGACCAGCCAGCCCCTGGTGACAGCTGTGACCCTCCTCCCAGGGCACACGTGTACTCTCCCCTTCCTCTTTTGTGCTCTCCTTTCTCTCTCTCTTTCCAGCACCTCTTGCTTGGTTGTGGTTGTTAAGGTCAAATCTTTGGGCTCGTGACAGCAGAAAGGGCCTTTTCCGGCGCTGGCCAAGAGCTCAGCAGAGCAGGCACAGCTGCAGACCAGAGACAGCAGGGATGCAGGGGGTGGCACCACCGTAGGGAACATGGGCAGTGGCCATGAGGGGCCCAGTGTGGGCAAGGAGGCAGCAGCAAGGAGGTTGTCATCCCTAAGTGCCTACCTGTGGTGTCCACAGCAGCCAGCAAGAGCCTTGTACCCTGGAAAACCATGCGCAGGAGTGGAGGGAGCTGCTAGGCCCTGCCAGGCCAGGGGAGGTTTGAGTGTCATGGCAGCCAAGGCCAGGCACCGACGGTTCTCTTGGCTGCACTGCAGTCTGCCAGGGTCGGCCAGGGCCAGGCTGAGTGTAAGGCTGGTGTCCAGGGAAGTAGCCCCAGGCTGTGTGCAGACTACTGCATTCTCTGTAGCTGTCTGAGCAGAGTAGCCTGCAGCAGCAGGCCTGGAAGGGTCTTGTGGTAGGGATGTCTCACTCGGGAGTCTCCCTGTCCTGCTGTGTTGGCAGGGGCCTCAGCTTGGCCCTTTCAGAACCAGCAGCTCTGAGCTTCCCTCCACTGGCTCCCATTGATTGAAGCTAGCAACGTCAGGGCAGGATGGGGGCGGAGCAGTTGAACTCCCCAGCGGACATGGGTGTGCAGAACCACTGTGTGAGCAGGGAGCCCCCAAAGTGACGCCCTCAGGGCAGGGCAGAGCAGTGCCAGGTGCTTGTGGAGCCAGTGCTGCAAGGCACATCCTGCCCCCAGCCCAGCAGCTCAGCCCAGCTTCCGGAAGCCTGCTGTCCCCTAGGCCGCAGCTCCACCCAGTTCCTCGCCCCTGCCAGGGCCCTCCTGCTGCTGCTGCTGTTTCTAAACTGTGTGTGTTTGTTTCTGTTTAGCTGCTCCAAAGATCCCTCCAGACCTAAAGTCCCACAGCCCCAAATGCCCTTCTACTGTCACGGGCACCTATAGTAAGTCACCTGCCCTGTTCCCAACCCCAATTCTGTGTCTAGAAGCAAGACCCTGATTTGGCTGCACTTGGCCCTTCTGCTTGTTTGAGAATAATTTAGTGGTAGACGCACTTGGGGTTTTGTGGCTTTGGATACTGGTGTTGCCCCCAGCGGAAGCCGAGGAGCCTTCCGGAGTCTCTAAAGCAGGGTTATGGTGGTCCAGAGCAGGGCGCAGAGCTGCAACTCCAGACCCCAGGTCAGAGTTCAGCTGAGCTCCCTTCTAGCTCTTCTGATGCTGCAGCAGGGGTCTGAATGTGGGGATGGAGCAATGTCTTGGCAGAGCCCGACCCCCCGGCATCACTGGCAGGAGGACTGGAGCAGCAGCAGCTCAGCTGTGCTGAGCTAGCCTGCACTGAGAAGGGGCTTTCACCGTAGAGAAGTTCCAGGTGCTTTCCCAGGGATGCCAGGGCCAGGACTGTGGAAGGAATCCTGCCCCCTCCCCTGGGCTCCTGCCGTGACAGGAGGAAGGAGGGGCCTTTCCCCTTCTTGCTCACTGATGCATCACGACAGGGAGAGGCTCAGGGTCAGGTCCCCACATTGCGCTCCTTCAGCGCAGTCTGGGAGGAGCCGGCTCTCCTGCAAGCCGAGGCCAGCATCTCGAACCCTGCTTTGGAAGCCTATACCTGCCCCACCGAGCCTTGGTACTGGGTGCTCCCACCC